GAAGGACATACTATGGTGGCTGCTTTAACATTGACTCTTCTAGCATCCAGAAGCAGACTTTAGTCCAAGCTTTCCCAAGATGATTACATATCAATATTCCAGTCCAGCCTATGAAGCGGTATTGCTACAGGTGTATCACTTTCTATAAATTGACCTAGGTAAACAGCCTGTCGCAAATAGTATCTACGTCCCCGCTGTGTTTGATGCCTTCATCTCTAGTGCGAAGCGTATAGCGACTCCAATTATCGCCGGGTAATTGGTAATAGCCGCGCAAAGGCAGTCACGCAGGTACCCCAAATACCTTGCTGCCAAACGTGCTGCTTCCGGGCAAAAGTGACGCAAGCTGTGGTGCCGATCGATTGATCAACCCCAATGTCTAATATCTTGGCATCGATTGGGCCAGAGGGACATGGGGGGATCGGAATGCGCAGATCCCGATTACTCATTAACCCTTTCTTCTCGGCAGTTTCGAGTTACAAATTCCCGCATAGGGCTTGAACTGAGTACTGAGCTCTATGAAATGCCACTGCGTAAGAAGTATTCTTAATTGTTCAGCATCGAAAATATGACGTTAGTATATCCCTTATAAGGGGACTGCCCAAGTGGTATCACTGTTTTTCACATCTAAACTACTATCATCACTTAATTCTCCTTCGCCTGACCGTGGATACGTCCGTGACTGGCAACTTCGTCACCCCTGCAGATCGGCTCTTTGTATGCCTTGGCTTTGACTTGGCATCAAATCTATTTCTACCAGAAATTTTGCGCAGTAGCTGGAATAGCCAACAACAAGAGCTGGAGCTTTATCCACCTCATTATGGCGCAATTCATGGACGCGTGTGCTGCAGTAACAATATGCCACAGGAGGGGTTCAATAGGCACCAAGGCATAGCAACCAGCCCTGAGCGAGCCCAGCTTTTAGATTGCTCTAGATGAGGATTTGACTGGTGGATGTATTTGGGTCCAAACATTGAAGCATGAGTGTGGGACGGGATGACGTTCCCTTTTAGACCTAGATGGTTCCATTGTCGCCGATGTTGGAGTTGGAGTTGGAGTAAAAATGACCTATAAAGACCATGAGCTCCTAGGAAATATCGAGCCGATCAATTGCAGCTTAGAATTCATTCTTCAATTGCTAGCTTCACTCCTTCCAGACACCTATCAAGATGGTTCATATTTCCTCTCCTTTGATCATCAGCGTCGCCGTGCTGGCGTCTCTGGGACTTGGTCATCCGGGACACGATGTCAAGCATGAAGCTGCTGAACGGGCGGCGTTCCTCAAGCGTGCACCTGTGCAGTCACGCAGCCTCACTCAATGTGCTTCCACCCTCAAGGCTCGTGGAGTTGAAGATAGTAATGTCGCTCGGCGTGCGTAATGCCCTTCAGGACTTGCGTCAGGAGAGGGGACTGTCCAGTAAGTATTGAGCTAGAAGGGACACTTCCTTCCCTTAATTGATACCACTTTGTCCACACCCAGTACAGTCCCAACTAATAGGTTAGGCCCCCAATACCTCAAGGCTCGTGATCTGGACTCAGTCCTCGCCACTGATCACCATTCCAACTTGACCGGTGTCAACCCATCAACTGACCCAAGTGTCATCTTCGCATCCGGCGGCACCTGCATCGTCCAGCCCGAGGTGATTCAGGGTCCTTACTGTACGTCTTTTGCGCTATTCCTTCTACTGAAACAAGAACCTTACAATGTACACTGCAGACATCGCCGGAGAGCTCATCCGTCGTAACGTGGCCGAGGACCAGGCTGGTGTACCCTTGTTCATGGATATTCAGCTTATTGATATCAATACCTGCGAGCCTCTGCCCGACATCTACACGGACATCTGGCATTGCAACGCAACCGTACGAACCTCCCCAATATCATTGTTAATCTCAGTTTGAGCCTGAGCCTCTAACCTCTACTCCACTTTACGGGAAACAGGGTGTCTACTCCGGTGTAGTAGAGAGCGGCAACGGAAACGCCGATGACCAAGGTAACATCAACACGACCTTCCTGCGCGGCGTCCAGCCCAGTGGAGACGACGGAGTCGTACGTTTCGAATCGATCTTCCCCGGGCATTATGCTGGCCGAGCGGTTCACATTCATGGTACGTACACCTATACCCCTCCGCAATCGTTATCCTTCCATTTACCTCTTCGCTGTTTCGGAAGGCTTCGAAACTAATAAACCTTAAATGAGCAGTCGTGACCCACCCCGCCAACGAAACAAAAATCCTACCTAATGGCACCATCGCCGGCATGTACGACAGCCACTCCTCGCATGTGGGCCAGATCTTCTTCGACCAGGACTTAATTACCGAGGTCGAGAAGACGAGTCCCTACTCGACCAATACCCAAAGTCTGACTGAGAACGCCGACGACTCCATTTTGCAAACGGAGGCAGACACGACTGACCCGTTCATGGAGTATGTTCTTCTCGGTAACAGTGTCTCGGACGGTATCTTCGCTTGGATCTCGATTGGAGTTAATGCCAAGCGCGATGACTCGCTGTCTCCTGAAGGGTACTGGACTGAGGATGGAGGTGAGGGCAATGATGATTTTGAGATGAGCATGGCTGGTATGGGAGACATTGCTGCGGCACTTTCGAGCACGAGTGCATCTGCTGCTGCTACGGCTTCTGCTTAGTGTTTAGTGATGGTTGACTAATGATTGAAATGGCGGACTTGCTCTTAGCCATTGATGTTAGCGACGGAGATGTAGGGGGATATCCGAAGATTCTACGTTATACAGGATAAAGATGTACAATTGATAGCTAGTACGGTACTGTCAAAATATAACGGTATACTTGCACGGTTTCATCAATTTCTGAAACATAATCACCAGATTGTGGATATTGCTCGGACCTTACAAGTAAAAGCGAAGAGAATACCTAGTCTCTCTGTTACCGAATTAAGATCAATGACTATCCCTTTAAGTCATCCAAACAGTCTTGTGTAGAATAACATTTCGTCAAGCTGTGCCTCATACTAGCATATATCGAGAAAGGGAGATAAATGGCCGTTTTCCAAACATTATCATATCAAATGACGCCTTTCAGTTAAGCATTCCCGCTGGGGGTATTTCGACGAGAAGATTGGCGAGTCCAAGCTTTATCAGGCCAATCACTTTTTCCCAAGTCTCTTGCTGTTGATATCGTCATGGAGTAGTAGCAACCTTCTGCATTCTCATACCTCGCCCAGCTACTAAATTTTGCAGAGCGGGTTGAGCGATTTTTCTCCCACCCCATAAATCCCGAGCCACCTTCATGAAAGATTTGCCGAGCAAAATCCACTATGTTCCTGTGTGGACAGATGTTGATAGATCGCAAGCTCTTCAAAGGACATCCGGGTACGGTGTAGATCTCATAAAAATTGTACAGGCACAGTCTCTGGTGCGTATCATCGTACAAAAGATCAGCCCTGATTCTGACCCTAAACGAAGGGTTTGCGTTGAACACGCAGGAATGCTGAAAATCTTTATACGGCTTTTGGGTGGGAGGAACGCTACTGGACTTCCCATTGCTGACAGGAACGAACCTTTTTTCCTTTTTGCATAGCCGTATCAAGTCCAGTTTATCAACGAATGTGATTCTCGTACACGGGCAAATGTCAACTTCGCCAGCATATGGCATACAGCGTAAACTGCCTTTTAGAACGGAACATCCAGAGCAACATTTCGATTGCTTCGTATGCGTTTCCTTGAAATCACGTAGAGACCGCCATGTCAAAGCTGGGTGGAGGACTTGACAGTCACTGCAGTATCTCCAACGATCGCTCTCGAGTCGAAGTAGCAACTGTACTCTGGGTTGTTGTTCGATCTTGGCGAATATGTCCGTTCGTTTTTCGACGGGGAGAAGCTGATAAAGCTGGGTTTTCTGCTCCTCAAGGTAGGACTTGAGACAACATAGAATATATCGGCAGCTTAGTCCGAAACATATCTGATCTGGGGCGGATAGGAATGTGAATATGTTTTCCACCAGTCTCGGAGGCAGGGCACTGAATGAGAATCTCAGGCTGTGATTCAAATGAAGATTTGTCAATATAGATTGCATAGTGTGGTTGAAAGGCCTCCTGGTTTGAGGTTTGGGGGCCATGTCGAAATGTGATAACTTTTCGGACATATTCCAGCTGTTGGGATAAGCGCGATATTTCTTATTGGGTCTAGCGGTTAGAACTTGGGCGATAGCTGCAAGAGAGGGTGAATGCTAAACTTTCAAAGCAATAAAGGGAGGGGAAGTTATTATATTTGTAAGTCATCACAAGATACATGGAGCGTCTGTCGACATCATGTCGTAGGTGATGAAATAGATGCGCAAGCACCGGATCAGCTTTCCGCCTGTGGACGTCACCTAGCTCTCACTTCCGGACCACTGGCTAAACAAAACAATTTGGTATCCTTCAATTCCGTCACTCTTGCACAACATTTGGGCTTAGAGGAATGGAAGAAAGCAAGCCGACATGGAGGCCCACATGTGAACATCCAGCGTCGATTCGGGCAACAAAAGGTTAATTTCCCAGTCTTTTATTTCACTTTCATAATGATGAATTAGAAATCAAGATCTGTATCAGCCCATTCATCCCATGATATTTCTCAACCATGTCACGCAGTAACTCAAGAGTTGATACAGCTAGGCGTACATGGCGGCTTTATGGAACTTCATCTGGGTAATTATAAGTACTTTATCATAGTTAGTTTGTCGCTGGAATTACATATGCTGCTTACAGAAGTAATCCAGCACATACGACCACAGGGTGTGGAAAATAGGGCTTCCCGTCCGCTCAGCCGTACTCAAGCCACACGCCGGGAGGTTAGTAGTTGGGTGGGTGACCACCAGCGAATCCCTTCTGTTGTATGTACTATTTTGTTTTTGAACTCTTACAATACTGTGATTGTTTCATGTCATCAGTCTGACTGGATTTTGGTTTTACACGTCCCCGACCAATAAGCTGCTCACGTAGAGACTTCAAGATCCGTAACGAAGACTTGTGTGGGAGCTTTGATAATCCCCGACTTGGCGCCGGCGACGCATGGTTAGAACAGAGTTTAATCCTACTTAGCCGTCCAGATATTCACTTTCGAGGATCTCACGCACCGTAAGGCGTGCGTTTGGATCTGGGTGTAGAATTTCCACCAAGAATTGGATATCCTCATGCGAAACGCCCTTCTCTACCATGGTGTTTGCCCACATGTAAGCCGTTTCTGGTTGTGGGGTAGGCAAGATCCGGGCGCATTGTTCGTCTTCAGCATAGAATGGCAGCGATGACAAGTCAAAGTCAACTGCGAGCTGATCGCGAATGGCATCTCGCTTCTTTCTCATACTTCCAGTTCGGATTGAATCATACATTCCAGGTGATATGAAGTCCACCTGGGCCTGGAACAATTGGGCTAACTGTAGGTGATATCGTCAGAGAGAGCCACGCGAGGAAGACATCCGAAAGAGAATTCACTAACTATTATCCCCCAGGACCAAACATCCGTGCTCGAACTCCAAGGTCTCCCGAAGTGGACCTCGGGACTTCGATATGTGAGGGAGGTGATCTCTCTGGTAGATGGTTTGCTAACTATAAAGCATGTGAGATATATTGGTCAAGGATACAGGAAGGAATGCCACATACTAGAACCGCAATCTGCCAGTCTAACGATCAGATCACGGACATTCTCATTGGGCTTGGAGGGATCAAACCCTCCAAGTACAACGTTTTCCATCTTCAAATCTAGAACATGCTTAGCTTTGTAACCAAGCCTGGGAATTTATCTGACATTCAGTCTTACCTGTATAAACCAGTCCTTTCATATGGACGGTATAAATACCAAGGAGTACCCCCTTCATAATCCACTTGATTTCCTTCGTAGTGAACGGTCGGGCATTTCGGGCATCCCAGAGCGAGTCCGTGAATGCTTCAAAGACCATCATTGGTCCAGCAAGCTCCGACTCAGGAACGTAATCCACGAGTCTGCGAATCATAGAACCCTTTGCAAACAGTTTTCCATCTCCAGTTCATGCTTGAATGCAGCGAGAGCAGTAATGGGCGATGGACTGTGGTTGTTGTCTCCAGGCGGTATTTTGATAACGTACTCAGCATCAGGTCTAGAATCGTCTATCGCTAACCACACGTTTGAGGGTTTGTCGCGTGCTGGTGTTCCGAGAGGTCGGACAAGTCGGTATCGCGTACCTCTTTCGCCTTGGCAGATCAGCCCTGCGGATACGCCAGTAGATAGTGCAGCGGAGATGGACTTCGAACGATAAACATTTGGAAAGCCTGACGATATTACACGCGAGGGACGACATGAGAAACGCAGACATGGTGGCTTCAACTTAACAGGTGTGTGTGCGCGTGTGTTTACAGAATGTCAGCCCCTGCAGCCGACCGCGCCCTTTTGTGCCTGCCTTCCATACTCATTAGCCACCCACTTTTAGCCTAGCCGCAAAGTAACTCTATGGCGAGCTTTGCTTTCACAACATCAGGTGTCACCTTCTCTGGCTGAGGCTGGACTATACATAAGTACTGGAATGTCGCCTCATTCGAACAAAGCGAATTAGTACATTTCAACGTTCTCCGAGGCCATGACGCTTGACCTGGTTAAGTTGATCCTCCCAGCTAGGAAAGATCTGCGGACATCCTGTCACGCACGCATTTTCGCCTAGGCTGTCTGAGCCAACTTCTGACCGTATGCCATTTTCTATAGAGCAACAGCCTACCAGTATGGTCTGATAGAAAGTCCCATTGACCAACATAGTCTACTGCAAAGGTCAGCTACACCATTCCAGGGGCCAAGTCTTGGATTCTCGAGTTGACGGCCAATTAGACTCGAAGATCTCGCCATCTTGGGGTTTTATGACAGCTTCATGATCACGACTGGGCCTGAGCCGGTTTTCCAACTCCGGTTTACCATATCCGGGCCACTTGACCTGCCACGCCCCCGCCAATTCCTGAAAAATCTCCTCTGCAGTGACTGGTAGACGGTTGCGCAGGTCCGTGCTAATCGAGGACCTGAACTTGCCAAGGTGCGGATGTAAGCGGAGCAGCTGCAAAGAGCGACCCTGTTGGCCCATTAAGATGCGATAAAAAATTGCCTTGGCCAGCGATTCATCAATGGCCGAGTTGATCATGCAGTCCCGGATGGTCCATTTGGAGATCGGGCCGGAGTATGGGAAGAGCTCTTGTTCGTACTCGCTCAGCTCCCGCGGCGGAGACGGCGTCCCGTCGGCCTTACTTGCCGCCACGCAGTTAAGGACGAGATCCAACGTCTGCAAGACCGGGAACTTCGCCAGAGCGTCGTATGCTTGCGCCTCGATTGGGTGTCCTCGGTATCGCTGCACGCAGATACACAGCGTCTGCAGGGCAGGGCAGCAGGCTGCAATGTGGCTAATGACGGCTGAAGGGAACGTGGGAGCCCTCTGTCTTTTAAGTGAGAGTGGACGCGCCTCGTCGATTTGTTGAAACTGTGACTGCTTGTAGTACAATTTCAACTCGGTCAGAGTTAGGCCGTGTCGTTTCAGAATAGCGGTAGGAAGTATCGCTGGGTTATATCTTCCCAGAAGATAGAGGTAATTCAATGGCGGGAGTGAGCGAAACATCCTTCTGATTGCTCTTGGCCAGCATGAAGTGTCTTTTGGTTGGTTGAGTTTAAGTGTTAACCGCTTCAATGCCCGGAAAGGCTGCAGTTCAGTGATAGCCGTCAAGGCAGTCATTTCCTCGATGGTACCCGCAGCCCACTCAGTGAGATATGCCAGATCAGTAAGCTGGGACCACCTTTGCAGCTGTGCCGCAGTCATCTTCGTGTTCAATGGTAGCGAAAGTGTCTCCAGCTTTGCACGCGGAGCCTCGATGATTTCGCTCTCTGACAGCTGGGACGGGGACCAACTTGTGGATTCTGAGATTATCCAGTGCAAGGGTTTGACACTAATCTGCAGCGATAAATACTTTATATGTCGTGCCTGATGGAGAAGGTCCCACAGAGCACGATCAGGATTCTCTCTAAAGGTTCTCATATGTCCTTCATCATGGCATATGACTGTGACCGCATGTAGCACGGGAGAATGAAGCCATTCGGACCAATAGAGAATCCACCTCGGAGGAAACCGACTAAGCGTGAATATAGACACACGACAGGATGGATACACCTCCGCGACGACATCCAGAAGCTCAGCATACCGTGCAAAAGCCAGGATGCTCAACTGCTGCAGACAGGGCAACCGCTTCACCAGGGCAATGGTCGGGGTCCAGTCATCTCCAAACTCACACAGTAGTGAAAAATCGATATCTTCAGGGAGGGTCTGTTCGAGATAATCGCCTATACTCTCGTCCGGAACCGGTAGGTTAGTGTAGTAGCTTCGAGCAAGGAGTGTTAATTTCTTAACATGCGGTAAGATGCGGTTGACGTCTAGAAGTTGGAGTATGCGATTCTGGGGCTCAAGGGATCGCAACGGTAGTGTAATATTCTTATAGAGAATGGGCGCGACGATCTGACTCCACTGACGGTTGACGTGTGATAAGGCTCGCAGAGCTTCCCGCGACACGTCGCTCACCTAGACGCCGAGTTAGGAAATTCCAAAGAGAGGGCAGTAGCAGTCTTACTGCACCTGCCACATGTAACTTCAGCTCTGGTGGCAAACGATCCATGGCTCATAGTTGAGGTGGGCCAAATTGATGAAGGGGACAGCACAACGATGAGGGATATATATGTGAGTCACACGAACCAAGGGCCTGGCATTATTATCCGCCTCTCCACGTCACCGTAAGTACTAATTTTCAAGCAATTTGTCTCCCACTTAGTCTAATGCGCTGAATGGCTGACTCCGGCTAGTCTAAAGAGCCGGTTAATCTAAAGAGCATGTTCGTCGATTAAATCCTTTCTGTAGCCACACTCATCCTATATGGACAATACCATGTGAAGAAGTAGCGATAATGCACTTTCAAAGGCAGATAATCCCATGGTGAGTGCGGACAACATCACGCTTACAACAACTGGGTGGGTCTAAGAAGGAAAAAGGAAACGAGAAGAAGTTGCAATAATATTCTCAGAGAGCCCCCGAGCACAGCAATGTCACCAAGCACCCACAGATCCCTGCCAAGTCATCACAGGCACATCGACTCATAATTAGTCGTTGTCGGCACGATTTCAGTGATATAGGCTGCAATGTATTATCAGTTGATCCCATGGGTCACTATACCATCCAAGGAACCCGCCAAATCCAAATTCAAAGGCTACGTACTATGGCTTAATTTTATTATGAGTCATAACGAAGATAAGAAGGAGATAGAGGAACGCTCTTTGCAGTGTGATACTGACTGCATTTAGCCAATTATTGCAAAGTATTATCCCCGTGGCTTGGATGTTTAACTCCGACGGCACGGCATCACCATACTCTTTCAGTTTTGAATACAAGGCTAACCCTTTGGAAATGATTCTTTGTCCGACCCAGAACAGTTTATTACATTCCATTCCAAGGGCCAGAAACTGTTCATCCGGCCCAACAGACAACTTACTGGGCCAGGAGGAGCTCCATGTGGGTCCCGGAGGAGGTCCGAGATACTATAAGCTCGGGTATTCTGCTATCTGGCTCTTGATAATGCACCACTGACCACTCCGAGCTTCTCCCTGAAAGATAATAGTAGATTACTATCCCGAATCTAAGATACCAGAATATATACCAACCAACACTGGTAACCAGCCAATCTAAACAATGTCCGCAAACGACATCCGAGGTCGACTAGCCCTAGTCACTGGCGCTTCAGGAGGGTCAGTTTTATCCCGTAACTCCCGTGGAAGCTTGTCCCTGAATCGGCCCCGTATTGAAGCACTAGGGCTAACAAACATTTGACTATCAGCATCGGTTCCGCCTGCGCCCACAAACTCGCCGAAAATGGCTCCCACTTAGCCCTTACATACTCCACCAACCTCGCCGCCATACAATCACTCCACGCAGATCTACAATCCCGCCATCCCGATCTCCGCATCTCCATCCACCAAGTTGACCTCCGCTCCGCTACCGACATCACTTCATTATTCGACCAAATCATCGCCCAACATGATGGCCACAGTCCCGATATTCTCATCTCCAATGCCGGGACCGGTAAACGAATCACCAATATCTGGGACATCGATCTATCGGACTTTGACGACATGATTACCACTAATCTCCGCGCGTCGTTCATCCTAGTCAAAGGCGTGGTCGAGCACATGAAGGCACAGCGCTGGGGACGCATTGTTTTTATGTCGTCTATTGCGGCGTATGGTGGTGGGATTAATGGGTGTCGTGAGTTGCCCCCACTTTTCTATATAATATACGCGCATAAGAAAAGAGTATATTACTAATTATTTAAACTTGACTATTTAGATTACGCAGCCTCCAAAGGCGGCCTCACCGGCATGATGAAGAACCTTGCTACCAGATTGGCTGAGTACAATATTAGTGTCAATGATGTCGCTCCTGCTATGATTGGGGACACGGGGATGATTCCCAATGCTGCAGCGGTGCCGGAGGTGGTGAAGGGGATTCCGCTTGGGAGGTTGGGGACGCCAGAGGAGACAGCGAATGTGGTTCTGATGCTAGTTACGACCGGGTATATGACGGGACAGAGTCTTTTGTTGGCTGGAGGTCTGAGATGATAATTTGACTTTCTTATATGAATTGGTAGTTAGGGAATATCTTCATGCAGTAGAGTTGATGATGACTGTGGCTCTTAGCTGTTTCTGATGTTGTACAGGTTTGTTCCCTGGTTGAATTAAGCTCGATGTAACAAGTGTGCGCAGATAATGACGATTGATTTCATATTGGAAAGTCATCTATGGGGGATAAAGTCCTGATTTAAGGAAAAGTTGAAGTGCCAGCGTGGAGGAGTGTAAGCATAAATGTATTGAATCGCAGATATAATCCTCACTATGGGGTTTTAGACGATCGCAATATCATTGTTTACTTTTACTATCAGAAACTTAGAGACTTGAATCGAAGACAATATTGAATGATAAACCTGAAATAAAACACGTTGCATACAGTTATTCTACATCTCAACTACCACACAATCGGCTGACCCGTCAAACAGGCAGAACAACCTTGACCCCCATGTACTCTCGCTGATGCATAATCTTTCCATCAATAAGCACCTGGTCAGCTCCAAGTCGATTGCGCACAGTATCCGTTGGGTCTGTGACAGTGGCAATCTGGATCTCGCGCCATTCACGGTTCGTTGGGACCAATTGGCCCTGCGATGTGAGTCGTCGGAACTCCTTGTAGACACCTTGTTCCTCAACACATCCTTCGCGTTGGATAAGGGGAGAGTCTAGCAGTTATCAGCACACTTCAATTGTTTCTTCCTCTCAAATTCAAACACACTTACCATATGCAGGCGCCATTCTCAAATCACCAACTGAACTGTTGAACAGCACCAACGATAGTCGCTCCTCATTCAACTGATCCACGGGTGGCTTATACACGCGATGCCGAGTGGCCTTGAAATGTCCTCCCGACACAATCTCCAAAGTATCCCCGATGTTGATGACGAGCGCACCGGGCTTGTATGGCACATAGTACCATTGTTCATCACGGCCCCAGATCTGAAGGCACGAGATAGGGACGGAGAATAACAGCGTGGTCAAGCCAAAGTCGGTGTGTCCGTGCATACGGAGACCCTTCGAGGCCTCTTCAGTTTGCTTCTGCACTGGTCGGAATAGGGCATGTCGGAAGTAGCCTTCACCGGTTGGGCTGCCATGAGACTGGACGTTGTTCCAGAGGTAATCGTCGGATAGCTCAAGAACACGGGAGAAGAGGGTAAGGAGGCGTCGGTTGACAGACTGCGTCAGGTAGTTGCAGAAAGCCTCGATCTCATCCATGAATGGATGTAGACATGTGGGGACTCGGTTGATGTCCTCCCAATCCTGCTTGTACCAGTTGAATTGCTCAATTCCGTCGGCGGGGCCACGGTTGCGCTATATGTTGAGGTTAGTTCCTATAGCATTGGAGAAGGCTGGGGGTGGTGTCTTACCTTGAACCCGTACGGGTGCTTGTATCCAGACCAGAGACCTGTATCGGGGTGGAACAGGAGGCGCTCTTTGTCTTCCTCGCTGATGTTGTTGTAAAGATACTGTGCAAGTGCAAATTGGCGATGGAGCTGGAGATAAGACCTATTAGTAAGTGTAACATTGTCACTATTGAGGGCTTCCACCTACCTGCTCCAAGGAAACGCCGTAGTTCTCAAGGAAGAGGAAACCATCATCACGGATGGCGATTTTGACCTGTTGGATCAGATGATCTACTACTGCTGGGTCTTCTGAGTCGAGCAGCGAAAGATCAATTGACTTGAGCTGAGCAAAGTTGTGCTTCTCCTTTGTTACCGGAGGGGGAACCCATTCTGGCACAGATGGCTTCCCCGGCAGGTCAGCTGAAGGAGGGTTGAATGGAGCTGTGGGCGCCATGATGGTTTTTGAACAAGAAAGATTGATATTGTTTGATCAGTGATATGCAGTGACTGTGATATGGCTATTTGCTATCTCTTCTACTCCGAATTGAAGTCTGATTATATACACGTCTAGATTGAGACTATCTCGACGTCCGCCATGCCCAGATTACCCAAGCCATGTGATACAGTTCAGGGGAGCTCTTCTGGCAGAGGGGCCCACGGGATGCGTACAGTACTGCCTCTGGAGCAGTAACAGATGAAGCAATGGCATGATGGATGCTTATCGAGCCTCGCGTTCTTCCTCCAAACCAAGCCTCCTCCCTCAATGGCGCTGCTATTTTAGCGTGTCCGATAGGGTTGCTCTCGGATCGCCGAAGGTGGTTAGTTCGTGCCGATCAACCCAGCAAGTCAGGTATAATCGTGATAACGATAAGGGAGGAGCTCCTCCCACAGCCTCCGCAGTGCAGGCTTGGCATCGCCATTCACGAGACATGCCGCAACAACTGGACTAGCAGAAAAAGCCATTTAAAGGGGAGTTGAATGACATTGGCATTCTCCATTCAGATCACAAGCACTAATCTCAGAGTGTCGAAGATTACCACATCCAAATTCATCCAATCAAGATGTCGCGCCAACTTATCTCGAGCGAGAAGTTCCCTCCCAAGCCTCACAACTGTGAGTAGCTCCCCCAACTTGTTTGTTACCAGTTAAGGGCACTGGCTAACTTGTATTTGCAGGCCCCGCAGTCAAAGTTCCCGGACTTGTTTTTTGTGCCGGTCAAACTGCCACTGGAGAGGTTAAGCAAGCCACAGTAAGCATGCCCCCACTCAGCGTCTCCCTGGTATAAGTTCCAGTTTTCTAACCAGCTCAACAGCGAACTGTACTCCAAAACCTCAAGGAGGTGCTCGAGCTATCCGGGTCGTCGCTCGAGCAAGTAGTCAAGTACAATGTCTACCTGGCAGACATGAAGGACTTTGCTGCCATGAACGAGGTGTATATCGATTTTCTGCCCAAGCCAATGCCTTCTCGGTCGTGTCTGCAGGCAGTTCCTCCGGGGGATGGGACGGTCATTGAGATTGAGTGTATCGCACAAGCTTGAGTCATTTGGTTAATATTAGAAGGTCGTCAATGCATAAAAATAAATTCTCATCACATTTTAAATAGAAACTTTTGACTCTGTCAAACACTTTACTCAGTAGTGAATTTTCATGCTTTAGCGCTCCTTGCGTACATGCCTGTGCTGCGCTGAGTTTTAATGTCTAGCACTAGGAATTAGTTCAATAGTTCCAGTCGTGCTGTGTAACTGAGTATACAAAGCCGACGATTATGTAGAAGCTAGCTCGCAAGTCAGCTGGGTATCACACTGCTGTCAGGTGACTGCGTGATTGGTCTTCCCCCACTTTCTCTTCTTCCCTCTCCCTCTCTTGCTTCACTATATCCCTTCGTCTATTTTTCCTATCACTTCATTATCAGCTCACTCAAATTCGTCAATCCTATTTCTATTTGGTCATGGCTATAAGCAGTACATGTCATTAGCCATTCTACAGCAGAAGAGTCTTCGATACGAGGCAATGCTCTCATTCTTCTAGTTCAGCTAAATGACAATGATTTTATTCTATACAGTCCACTCTGTTCATGACCTTGCTACCTCAAACTCTGCCATATACCAATTCTGAATCGCTTTGGTGTCGCCTGTGATAGCGACCGTGTCATATGTCTTTCTAGCCTCCTTTGCCAAACTCCCATTGTTAACCATTCTCCCTGCCCACTTGCCATGCTTCCTCGCCGCCGCAACAATCTTCTCAACTGCAGCAACAAACTCCGGCTCATCTCCCCGTGCAGGCACGTATCCGAGGAGAGACTGTGCCAAGTCATTGGGTCCGATGAAGACAAGATCCACACCCGGAACGGCGCAGATTGCGTCGACATTCTCCACACCAGCACGGGTCTCAATTTGAATCATGGTTATGATAGTCTCATTGGCTGACTTCATGTACTCGGGCGTAGTCAGGCCGTGACCGATGGCAGGAAAGGCGGACCCTTGCCCCCGCAATCCCTGTGGCGGAAATTTGGCAGACGCCACCACTTGTTGTGCCTCTTCGACGGTGTTTATTTGGGGAACCATGATGCCGTGGGCACCCGTATCGAGCGCACGTTTGACAATGTCATGAGTGGGACCGCGAATGCGGATGATGGGGGATACACCCAGGGAGGAGATGGCTGCGACAGAGTTGTGCATGGCGTCGTCGGAGATATGACCATGCTCGCAATCAATGATGATACCGTCAACCCCGGTCAGAGCGACAATCTGAGCCATGCGCACGGAAGGGAGGGCCATGAAAGTCATCAACGGGTATTCTCCGGCTTTGATCTTGTTCAGAAGCCGCAGCCGAGGGTTGGAGATCTTGGTTGTGAGAGGAGTGGGGTAGGTCTTCGTGTAAGTCATCGTGTCGGTGGTATCAGGAGGATTCTGTGTTAGGCAATGATGACTCTTACTGGACTCGCCGACATTGTCAGTTAAGTAGTTGGTCTGCTACAAGGATGTCGGTCGTGTCCAAGAGAATTCGGTCATGCGGGGAGTTGAACGGGAGGAGTGTTTAGCGCTCCGGGAGGAGCTCCGCCGATCCATCTCAACTCCTCTTCCTCCTCCACTCCTCCAGCAAAGGCTTGTCACACATGGACTGAACTGAGTCCATGTGGAGGATAAAAGATAAGGTTAGTGCGCTCCTCCCTCCTTATCTACCCGGCGCTTGATTGCCAGCGAATCAGTGACTCACCACGGTTCGTAACACACTCCACATCAATAGCCGGTCGGCATTACCCAGATGTCATGGATAGCACCGGCCTGTCCAATCAGAATAACATGATATACACCTTTGACGCTCCTTAATATCTTGGCCAGTCTCCCCTGGGGCAACAGCTCCCAGGTCCTTTCTAAGCCTCCACTCCTGCTGTCATGGATAAAACAGTGGATCTCAAGAAACGCCCCTCGTCCATCAAGTCGGAGGGCAATATTTCCTCTGCAGAAGGGCAGGTAAATGATGTTGTCAGTGATGCGTATGAGCGCATGCCAGAGTCCCTACGCAGTCTTAGCGAAGATGAGCGCCGCCGCCTCAATCGGAGAATCGTCCGCAAGGTGGACCTCATGGTTCTGCCTACGGTTGGCCTCTTGTATATCCTGAACTACATCGATCGTCAGAACCTTGCTTCGGCCAAGCTGCAGGGCATCATGGACGATCTCCACATGTCAACCGACCAATTTGCCACGGCTGTCTCAATTCTCTTCGTTGGATATCTGCCCTTCCAAATCCCCAGCAACCTCCTCATCACCAGAATCGCCCGACCGGGCATGTACATCTGCCTTGCGGTCACCATCTGGGGCTGCATCTCAGCTGCAACCGCAGCTGTTCACAACTACGGCCAACTACTTGCCGTGCGCGCCATCCTCGGCATTGCCGAAGCCGTCTTCTTCCCCGGAGCAATCTACTACCTCTCAGCCTGGTACACCAAAGCGGAGCTTGGCAAGCGCATCGCCGGTCTCTACATCGCCCAACAAGTCGGCAACGCCTTCGGAGGGCTCTTCGCCGCAGCCATCCTCCAACTAGACGGTGTCCACAACATCGCCGGCTGGCAATGGCTCTTCATCATCGAGGGCAGCGCCACAGTGGGCATCGGCATAATCTGCGCTTTAATCATGCCCGGATTTCCACACAACAGTCGCATCCTCTCCCCAATCGAGCGGGACCTGGCCGTATGGCGCATCGAATCCGAAGCCGGAGCCGCGGAAGGCTCCGAAGACGAACCCATCCTTCGCGGATTCATGAAAGCCCTCTCCGACCCCAAACTCGTCCTTATGATCTTCTGCAACATGCTCTCCCAATGCCAAGGCTCCATCGCAAACTACTTTCCCACCTTAGTCGGCTCCCTCGGTTTCTCCTCTAACACCATCAGCCTCCTCCTCACCGCACCGCCCTACGTCCTTGCGGGCATAGTCTACTACGGCCTCATGTTCTACTCCGATCGCTACAACACCATCTACCCACTCATCATGGCCTGCATTTCCATCTCCGTCGTCATGTACATCATCCTCATGTCCACCCTCAACATCGGCGCACGGTACTTTGCAATGATAATTCTCCCGTTTGCCTCTGTCGGTCCGCAGCTTCTACTCTACAAAACTATTAATCTGCATATGGCCCGTCCGGTGTCTAAACGCGCTGCCGCCTCTGCACTGGTGAACTCTATCGGCTGTACGTCGAACATATGGGCGTCATATTTATATTACGATGGTCCGCATTTCTATGCTGCCTTTGGAACGCTCATGGGTTCGGCCTTCCTCCTGGCTGCTACGGTCACGGTGTATCGGTGGCTGGTCCGTCGCGAGAACAGATACCTAGATTCAGGCGACCCAGATCTGATCGGCAAGGTGGTCAAGGGCGGAGTTACAGAGGAGATGGTGCAGCTGCGGTGGCGATACGAGATGTATTGATATATAGCCAGCAAAGCCTCAGGATATAAAACTCTGAGTTAATCAGACAAACTAGTAGTCACTGGTAGTTACATACATACACGCAATCTCTCTCATATTTAGCTATCAATAAATACTAATCCAACCCGCCCAAACACCCCATCACCAACCTCCCAATAACCCACCTCTCCCTCCAACCAAACACCCTCCTCGCCCAACGCACCGCCCCTTCCACATCCCCATCCCCAACCCCCACCACCCCCATCGCCCCAGACACACCCCCTCTCACCAACTGCCACGCGACCAAAAACGCTTTATAGGCATACAAGATCACCCACGGCGCCTCGCCCTGCACATTCCCCTCCTCTTCCAAGTACATCAGAAACCAATCCACATGGGACTGGAACGCCTTGGCCGTCTCCGCTTCACAGAGGAACTCACACGCCGAGGGCGCCAGCTCCGTCGCTTGCTGGAGCATCGTATCAATACTGGCTTTGACGATGCCGCCTGTGTGGCTGGGTGACCACATCTGTAGCTCGATCATGGCGGTTTGCCAGGTTGCCGTGGCGTGGGTGGTGGATTTCGGGGGTAGAGTTGGTGTTGGTGAAGGGGAGAGAAATACTCCCAGAGATAGGAGTGATGAGCGAAGCGCTGAGAACCGCTCCATGCTTAGCATGCCGGTCATGGTGGACCAGCCGGAGATTTCGCGCGCGCTGGAAATGAGGAAGTGGGTGATGTTGATGGCGCCGTAGGGGTCGAACAGGGGGATGGTGGATGGAGATGAAGATGTAGATGTAGAGGTTGTGTCTGTGGGTGATGGGGAGGAGAGGAAGTGGCGGACTGCGTCGTCGTAGCGCATCGAAGTAGCATGATGCTGTTGTTGGGAGATGAGTTGGAGATGGGCCCATTGGGCAGCGGAGGGTGCGGTCCAGTGGGTTTCTGGACAGGGGAGGTCGTGTTTAACTTCGAGGTGGGAGATGGCGCGGGGGATGGAGAGGAGTTGGTACCATAGGGCGTCGATTTGATGTACGGCGAAGAGAGTCCGTTTGTGGGATTCGGCTTTGATGAATTCTTTCCAGAGGGAGTCGAGGTCCGAGGTGTGGGCGGATTCGGTGGAAATCGGGTGCATGAGGCCTGTGGATCGCGCGAGGGATATCATTGTAGCGTGCATTTGAAGGCCTTGTGTTGAGTCGGAGCCGCAGAGGTACATCATGGCGCAGATTTGGAGGAGGAGGTAGCTTTGTATTAGGGGGAGGTGGTCAGTGGTGCTGGTTGTGTGAGGGTCGTTGGTGGAGGAGAGGAGGGAGCGCGCGAGGAGGTAGCAACGGGTGGAGAGGCTGGTTCCTGTGTTGGAGCGGGCATCGCACTCGGGGTCTTCGCCGTATTGGTATGCCAGGGAGAGCATGGCGAGGAGGAGGTGGGAGGGTATGGCGCTGGGATTGAATGTTGGGTGGTGGAGGAAGGGGACGAAGTGTGACACATGCGTGAAGAAGAGGTTGCAGCCTTCGCGGATTTGTGAGGCAGATGGAAACCATTTGCTTTGAGACAGGGTACTCTCGGGTGCGATAGGGATGATAGAGAAATCTTTCGAAAAGCTGAGGTCGCTCAGGTCAATATCCGGAGGCTGTGAAGTGGATATCGCTTGCGGCTGGTTGTCGAACTGGTCTGTTGCTTGGGTAAATGATGTTTCGCGTAGCAGGCTACGTTCCAGTTCTAACGCGTCTAGCAAAACAGACTCGTCCATTGATATAGGTTGCGTCAGGTTAACTGGGGCAGGCTGGATACGATCACTGTTCTCTATG